GTAAAGGTGCTCCTCTGAAGTCTACAAGTAAGCTGAATAGAGGAGTAAAGCTGAAGGGGGTTAAGGGGTAGGTATACCGTGTTCGGTAACGACTAGTGTTAAATTAGACCGGAATTTATTAGGACATACAGTCCTCACAATTTTCAGCTTTACATCATAGAAATGCACCAACTAATAAGCACGTAAATTAAATAAAAGTAAAGCTTGCGGTGGCTTATCTCCTATGGCACTTTCTGAATTGATTCCTTCCTTGGAGTAATTATTACACAGCACAAGGTACGTTTTCAGTTTCAGTTCCTAAAAGACTGTACAGTTTCTGTTTGAGCACAGTAGAATTACAGCCATGGCCTTCAGCAGAATAGATTTCATCTTGTTCAGGAATTGGCCTTGGAGACCTGGTTGATCAGTCTCCTAAAAGGTCAGGAATGGTCTGTTCCAGTGTGTGGAAGTCAAGTAAGAGTGGCAGAAAGCCAGCATGGGTAAACAAGGAAATCCTGTCAAAGCCCAACTGCAAAAGGAAAGTCTATAGAAGGTGGAAGGAGGAGGGGACGGGCTACCTGTGAGAAGTAAAAAGATATTGGCCAAACATTCAGGAGAGAAATGAGGAAAACCAAAGCTCAGCTGGTGTTGAAAATAGTGAGGGATATGAAGAGGAACAAGAGGAGCTTCTTGTAAGTATGTTGGCTGCAAAAGAATACATTTTCCTTAGGCTTTCCTGCTGCGCTCTGTAGGGCAGGGAACCTACTGACAAGGACATCGACAGGGCAGAGGCCATCTCTGCCTCACTCTTTAGGGCTAAGGTTTGCTTCCCTGTGTCCCTGAGCGCCCGCAAGGAAGGGCTGTGAGAGTGAGGAATTACCCACGGTAGAGGAAACGGTGTTCAAGCTGAATGAAGCCAGGTGTTCGTGGAGCCAAACCTCGTGCATCCACGGGTGCCAAGGGAGCCGGCCGATGTCGTTGCAGAGCCACTAGCTCTCATCCCTGAAAGGTGAGAACACTCAAGGGAGCGCCCTGGCTGCACTCACACCCAGCTTCAGGGCGGGCAAGGAGGAGGATCTGGGGAGCTGCAAGCTGCTCCGCAACACCCAAGTTTTTGGGAAGATTATGGAGTAAATTCTCCTGGAAGCTGTTTTCAGGTACCTGAAAGACAAAGAAGTGATTGAGAAGAGCCAGTGCGGATTTACTGGGGGCCAACAGCTCCTACTTGTTTGCTTTCTACAGGCAGGTGACCAGCTTTGCACAAAGGGAGAGCAGTGGATGTAGCTTGCTTTGACTTCAGCAAGACCTCTGATGCCACCTCCCTTAGCACCTCAGTAGCCAAATTGGTGAGATGGGCATTATAAGCGGGTGGAAGAGTGGCTGGACCAATGGCAAAGAGATCTTGCTTCTGTCTTCGGTACCTAAAGGGGGAAGGTACAGCAAAGACGGAGCCAAACACCTCTTAAAGATGCAGAGTGCTAGGACAGGTACCAACTGACACAGGATGGGACACGGGAAATTTTGATTAAATATTAGGAAAACCTTTTTCACTCTAAGGGTGATCAAACGCCGGGACAGGTGTCCAGGAGACATTGTGGAATTTCCATCCGTGGAGATATTAATGTTCCCTCTCCCTTCATGGGTCAGTTACAATTTGGAGATCTAAGTTGTGGTTCCTTACGTAGTGTAACTCCCAAGACACTTCTTAATCAAGAGATGAACTGAAATTTTGGACTATAAAATCAGTGTAGAAAGGTGCAAGTATGAGGAAGTCTTCTCACTAAAGTCCTTTTGCTTAGATTAAAATGTTAGATGTGACTGTTAGAAATCTCATGCAGCACTGAAGTTTCAAATTCAGAATTTTTTTAGTTTCCTTTTCAAAATAGTAAGAAAGCTGTTGGAAGAAGTCCTCCCTGGTACTGGGAGAAAAGCACTTTATAGCTATTAAATGGGAAACAGCTGTAGGACTAAATAAATTGCTTGGAAAGAATTAAGCACTACATGTTTTTTCTGGCTCACAGATTAAGCTATCGTCAGACCACCCAAAATACTTAAGAAATTAACTTTTATAACCCAGATGAAACTGGAAGATGAGTTCAGAGTTTCTCCTTCATTACAATTATAATTCAAAGTAACAAGTGGTTATTACGGCCAAGAAAGCACAATGCTGCGTAGTGTGAAATTTCTCTGCTATAGCTATTAAAAAAAAAAGGTATCTAAAATATAAAATTAAAAAGAGCAAAACCCAACTGCTTCCAGACACACGTAAAGGCCGCAGGTCACCAAACCACCCTAGGTGCCTGAAGCCTTGGACCTGAAATACTCTACCTTGGTTTAGCACCTTTGCATCAATCTTCTGCCTTTTTTAGTGTCGTAAGTGGCCATTTTCTTGCTGGAACCTGATTTGTGAGGCACAGTCTGTATATATTATTGCATTTATCCATATTTTAATTTTTAAGTGTAACACAAAATAGCCACTGGCTGCTTTTAGTTGAAGGCAGGGCAGGCATGGGAGCCAGTGTGACGGTGTGCACGACACCACGTAACAGCAGCCAGCTGGAGCACCTGTCTGAGAAACAGAAAAACTTGTTTTGTTTTCCTTCTCAGCTCAACAGGGGTTATTAGTTCCCATTTTCCACTGCCCAGCCCCGTGCCCTATCCATCAGGATAAAGACTTGGCTGCCCTAGCTTGCCCGGCTGTGCCTTGGTTAAAGCGCAGCAGCTGCACAACTGCAGCCCGGTGTCGTGGCGACAGGAGTGGGGGGGTGGGTGCTGCTGTGGGGTGACGCGGGGACTGAGGCTGACCTGGCTCGTTCCATCGGTTCCTGGGCTCTTGCTCCGACAGGAGCTGCTGGTCTGGCGTTGTGTCTGGGGAGCAGGAACACATCGCAGAGGGTACGGAAGCTGGCAGGGTTTTGTGCTGGCTTTGCTGCAAGAGAAACTGAGAGAATCCCACACTGAAGCACAGAGCACAACTAAGTAGTTAGTTGTTGGGGCACTGCCCTGTGAAAGAACCAGAGTGTTGAATTGTGAGTGACGCCGTATCTATCTGATGTAAGCTGTACATTCGGCAGGTCCCAAGAAAAGGACGGACTGTTGTCTTCGATAGGCAATTTCACAAACTGGGCTGTTAAATTAGGGAATGGCTTCAAGCTTTAAATTGTATCTAGGCTGGGAGGAGAGTCAGTTCCAGAAACAGCTGCCCTGATATTTTTAATCTACATCAGTGGATGGCTTGCATGTAAGTACGCCAGGTGCTGGAAATGCCATTCTTCAGCGTGTTACGTATCATCAGTTTTACAATACTTGAGGAAATGTAAGTGTTCAAATCACCTTCTTTGAAATAGGTTTGTGTCACAGAATTGTAATCCCTAAAAATCTTGCTAGACTTGGTCTTAAGTACATAAGAAAAACCTATCCTTTGTTTAAAATTAAAAAAAAGAAAAAGTCAAGTCTTTCAACGTGTATGTTGTGGCTTAAACCCAGCTGGCAGCCAAACACCCCACAGCCACTCACCCTCCCCCGCCTGGGGGATGGGGGAGAGAATTGGAGGCGTAAAGGGAGACTCATAGGTTGAGATGAAAACAGTTTAATAATTGAAATAAAATAAAACAATAAGGGAAAGTACAAACAGGTAATGCGCGATACAACTGCTCACCACCTGCTGACTGACACCCAGCCCAATCCCAGGAACAACCAAGATCCCAAAATCACAATCCCAGACGTGAGAGAGAACCCCTCCTTCCCTGCCACCCCTCCTTTATATATACACCGAGCACGATGTTCCACGACAGGGAATATTCCATTCTCTCATTTGGGGCCGGTGCTCTGGCCGTGCTCCCTCCCAGTTTGTTGTGCCCCTGCGCCCCGGCGGGACAGGGCGGGTCGGAGAGTCCTTGATCTCAGCAACAACTGAAAACATCAGTGTGCTATCAGCGTTCTTCTCATAGCAGATCCCCTACTGAATCCAAACACTGCAACAGTGGAAGAATTAGCAAGCCATCAAATCCTGAATATGCAATATTTGGATTCATAAGTGCTCTACATATCTATTTATTTCTTTGTTTTATATTAGGAATATTTGGGTATATACTTAGATGCTTTGTATGTATGTAAGGATCTATTCCCACAAGTACTTGACAATAAGATGGAAAGTGGGAAAATTGACATTTCCTTGTCACTGAATAATCGGTGCTTTGTTGATACAGTACTGAAAACACTTTTTTTCCTATCTCAAGAGAAGTACTGAGGTTTTGTTTTGATGGCATATGACACACAGTGTTACATGTAAAATCTGAAACTAAAGGGCTAAAAGCATATGTAAGTCAATTGAATGCATTTGAAAGAAAAAAATGGGAGACCGTGTATACCAAGATTAACTTCAGTGGTCGGCATTTCCGCTTCCTTATTCCTTTTCCATCTAGTTCAGAATTAGGAGAATTAGTAAGCTCAGCCACAGGAAAAGTTCAAGAATTGTTGACTGTAAACTTGACAAGTACACTTTCTTTCACAAAAGGGTGCAATCAGACATCTCCTCCTTTAAGCATTTTCTTCTACTTATCTTTGTATTTTTGTTCTTTTTTAACTTACATTTGTTATTTTCTCAGTGTTTGCACTATATCCACAGTTATAGGACTTAATGTTTTTATGCACAGTAACGGGTTTGGTTGGAAAGCACACCCGTTCCCCACTTGCACGTAGCCTGTATTACAAATGACAGCACCCTGCCAGAGAAGTGGTTTTGCATGTAAGGTGAGCAAACTATGTATGTTTGTAAAAACAAGTGGGTGGCACAGTTTTAATAGTTCGTTTCTTCTTTTAACAGGTGTTAGTGTCTGTCCAATCCCTAATACTGGTAGCAGAACCGTATTTCAATGAACCGGGTTATGAACGATCTAGAGGAACTCCGAGTGGTACCCAGAGCTCCAGAGAGTACGATGGAAATATACGCCAGGCAACAGTCAAGTGGGCAATGCTTGAACAAATCAGAAACCCATCGCCGTGTTTTAAGGAGGTAGGTTTTGTCAAATGCAGTAAATACCTTGTTTATTTATCTTGTTTGGGTATTAAGGGTAACGAAAATAGCTGAAAACATCGTGCATGAGTGTCTCTTTTGGCCTCCTCTTTATTTCCTGGGGCAACTGACTCTAGAGACTGAAGTGAATGAGGATGCACCTGACTTCACAGATTCTTTTCCATGAAAGGGGAATGCACAGAAATTGGGAGTGACCCGTAAGAAGGCTTGGTGCAGTTGGATAAAACGTGGTTCATACAGCTTGGCTCATTCTTCACGCCAGCTGGTACCTTTTACGTTCCATGTGGGAACTGTTGGTCAGCCCTACACATGGGCACTCGGTGTCTGTTAGTCAGCGTAGCTAACAGGAGGTATCTTTCCAAGAAACATGAATTTGAAGCAAGTATGAAGAAGCGCAATGCAAATTGGAAAAATACTTTAAAATAAATACCGGCCTGAATGTTATTTATGGAAGGATCCACAAAGCATCTGTGCTAAACTAAAAAGTAATACTAACCTCCATGCATTCCCACTGTCTTAAAAAACTTACTTGAAAGAAATAACATTCGTTTCCCTTCCCAAAAACAGATTAACTCACCCATAGCATCATCAAGTAATTTAGTTGTTAGGCACTTTTCTCAGTGTCTCTAGTCCAACTTATTTCTCAAAGCAGGTCAATTAGATCTCAGGGACTTGAACATATATGGCAAAGGATTCAAGGAAAAAAGAGTCGAAGCTACACTAAGTAAGAGAATCTGTATGAACATTAATGCAAAATGGTTGGTCAAACGTGAGTCATCTCACAGTATTACCAGCAAATACTTAGAGAAAAACACATTTTACTCTGACCTACTAAAACTGTTGCCACTTCTGAATTGAGGTGTGGAACCGTCTTGTAGCGTCACCTGTGCTTTCAATTATAAGCATACTAAAATATTGGAAAAGCATAATTATTTTAGGATTATGCACTTCGCTAAGTGTGGCGTCCAAGTTAGAATGTGGTCTCCCATCCTTTCCTTGCTGTCTGTAAAAACATCCTTTGGAATGCAAAAAACCTTCTTCCATTAAAATTACTGTCTTGTGGAATAAAAAACCATAGACACTTCACCTGCATGACAGGAGTTAAATATTTTATCTGCATGCAGGTGGGAAAGGGCATGCAGTGTACTCTGGTGTCTTGAATTAATGAAGAAAAACATGGTGGTGTTTCTAAATTGCCTCTTAAATGTTTTACTCAATAAGTTGAAGACAATGATAAAGATAATATTGTGATATATAATCAAATAACCTCTGCTAATAGGTCCTTTTTTTTCTAGTTAAATGTAACAGTTTCAATTTTGCAAAAAAAGCTCTCGAATTACAGTAACTTTAAATTAATTGATGATACCGTAAGGCAGTGGGCTCCCTGACAGTAATGCTCCATCTTTCTTTTCACATACACAGAAATGAAGGAGATGCAATATTACAGTATTCGCTAAATGAATCCCACTTTGCTGTTATTGCACTTTTCTTCAAAAGAATCTCAGCAATATTGTGCTTACTCCACAGCTTAGCTTTTTTACTATTTGTATGAAAAAGGCAGCGTGTAAGCTGACATCCTACCCCTCTTCGGGAAGGTAAAGTAATAAGGAGTATCCAAGTGGTGGTGTTTCAGTGGAAAACCAATCATTCCCTGGGAACAGATGACTCGTGCGCAGCACATCGTGACCAGAAGGCAGATGTTGACAGCAGTACAACTAACTAGCTGTCTAAATGCGGTGCGTAGCTAGGGCTGAGTTAAGCTAAGCCACACGTAAATGAAAAGTAGCATTAAGGGGCAGACAGCAGTTTGCAGAGGCACCTCGAACACTGGAAACTCCCTTCTGGTACCTGTGGACGGACAAGAGTTTTGCTGCACAGAAGAGAACTGGCCCACACTGAAAAGCTTTGCATCCAAATTGTTTGTGTTCCGGTTTGGGTGTAACTGCAGTTCTCCTCTTCTCCTAAGATACAGTTTTCTATTTTTCCCTGTGTTGAGGTCTTGAGGGACAGTATGATGAAGTCCTCAAGATTCTGAGCAGCTGTTGGAAGCTACGCTAGCCTGCTTCTGTAAGGAGAAGTTTGAGGCTAAGGTAGCTTGCTTTTCTGTTAAAAACACAACAGTAACAGCTTAAGCTTGGGGTCCTACCCTGTGCCCTACCAGCTTGTGCAACTCCCTTTCTACTTCTCTGATTATGTATTCCCTACCATTATGTGAGGTGGCATGTATCTTTCTTTACATATCAAAAATAATGATATTACGCCCTGGAAAGCATTATGCTTTTCTTTGATGCAGTTGCTGAGTTTTGGAAGAACGCTAGATTCCATCTGCAGCCCCATCCAAAAGGAACCACGTCTCTAGTATGGATTGTCTGAGCACTCCTCTGAGAGACTGGCCAGTTGTTAAGACCGCGAGGTTTTTTGTAGGGTTGTGTTAGGAACTGTAACAATGATGACCATGCAGTAACATAAATGCAAAGGCACCCTGAAAACAGGTCTGAGAAAGAAAGCACATCCTGCAGCTCCCAAGATCGGTTGTCTTCACAGATCTGAGCTATCTTCCCTTCAGTGTCTTAAATGACAGGTAGGCTGAGGAGATCTAAACTGCCAGTCTTTGGGAGTTCTTCCAAGCTCCATTATGGACATAAGGAATGCATCCAGAACTGAAGTCAATTAAGCTTTCACTAAGCAGTTTTTCTTTAGACACGATGGCTATAATCTCTAACCTCTGGAGGGAAACATGATTTTGTCAGTTACGTTGCACTATTGCCAAGAACTTTCTGTGCTCAATAAAATGTCTTTGATTTTATTGTTTCTTTCACCAGGCAGAGTTTTAGAAAAACGTTTAAGACAAAACCAGCGCTAAGTAGAGTTTCACAACTTTGGTTGGGCTTTTTTAAACTCAAATCTGTACAGAAATACCAAAATTGTTATGCAGTCAAATACTGATTCCCACCCAAACTGTGGGCAGCTCAACTATTCTTGCTTGAACTCCAGTGTCCCCAGAGGTGCTGCCTCTGCCGGGGGCAGGTAACTCTGGTTGCAACGTCTTCCACAGCAGCTGCTATGATCCTCCTCTGTGCAGAAGCACGTTATGTTCCTGTGCCCCCACTGTTGCCAGGGTTTCTGCTTACCTGTTTTCTGTTCAGGCAGCAAGGGTTTAGTGATGGGAAGACCTGGTGCTTGTATTTCCTGCCTGTGCTTTTTTATTAAAATGGGAGTCAAAGCCTTAACTTGTATTTGTCTAGCCCTGCCCCTATGCAAACATAAACATCCATACATAGTAACTGCGTAGTAAGATGATCTTTGAACTGAAGAATGTGTCTAACTTCTGCTATGACTTTTTAATCTTCCCTGGTGTGACACCGTATTTCTGGCACTCATTTACCTTTCACCCAGATAACACAAGCCAATGCTGAAGTGGCAGGCTGCCTGTAAATCGTAGATTCATACAGACTGGAAGAGACATCCAGGCCAACCACCTCCTCAAAACAGGATCAGCTGAATTCAGACCAGGTTCCTCAGGGCTTTTTCCAGTTGGGTTTTGGAAGCCTCCAAGGACAGAAATTCCACAATTTAGCTGCAATCTGGTTCAGTGCTGAATTACCCTCATACTGATTTTTTTTTTTTCCCCCCTTATATCCAGTTAGACTTGTAGGGGTCTTGCAAATTCTGTATTGTTAAGGTATACGGTTATTAGAAAAAAAATGAACACTGCTCTTTCATTTGGAATGTTTTCTTGCAGGTCATCCATAAACATTTTTACTTGAAAAGAGTGGAGATCATGGCTCAGTGTGAGGAGTGGATAGCAGACATACAGCAGTACAGCAGTGACAAACGGGTAGGCAGGACTATGTCCCATCATGCAGCAGCTCTCAAGGTGAGACTTGCTTTAATAATTTTATATTCTTTAATGTAAAGATGACAAATGGCAATGGAATTGCTCAGTAGCTGAGTTTTGTAATAACGATGACAGAAAACCCCGGCAACTTTAAAACCTGTAAACAAAGTGAAGTTTCCCAGCTGTCGGGAGATAAAGCGTATGTGCACTCCACTTCCTTGGTATTTTCTTCTACAAGTTACGTTTTCCTTTAGTGCCCGTCCAGCCTCTCTTTCAGTAAATACTTATGTAAGAGATAGAGAGTTTATTTAGTTCCCTCTAGGAGGGGGTGGGGGTTTATGATAAAGTTGTACTACAACCAGTTCCTTGCCAGCAGACAAGCTTTCTGAGTAGACAAGCACAGTTATTAAACTGTGGTCCATTATAATTACTTTTATCAACAGTTAGAACCACTACAAATGTTTTCCTTCCTTCCTAACCAAGTACAGTCATTGGTGTCTTTCATGTCCACACAGACAACAGACCTATTTTATTTTCTTCCCTTGAAGAGAAAAAAAAAAAAAAATTAAAGGCTCCTTTCTTTATTGCTAGACTTGCATTCTTTCAATGTGACTGGTCTTCAAAATGAAGTTACTGTTAGTTACTACAGTCAGTATGCAAACCTCTGTATCTCTGTAACAGCTCTCATAGTGAACTCCTTCTAAATTTACATTTTGACTGTATGACCTACCTAGTCCAAGCCAGTTTCTGCTGTGATCACAGAACACAGATGTGACTCGACTGCAAGACAGTGTGGCGTTTATATCGATGCACTTGTTTGCTGCAGTTCTGTTTACTGCCTTTAATCTGTCCCTAGCATCACTTGCTAATTATTCTGTCACAACAAGGAAAGCACCGATCCTTAAATACGGAGGAAAAGTTTATCCAGTCACTGAAAGAGTACATTTAAACCTGTTCTATTTACTGTTTTGGGGGGTTTTTTGCCTTGTCTAACATTGTGAAACATATTGTTTTACCTGTGGTCTTCCACGCTGACTTGTTTTCGTGTGTTCAGCGTCATACAGCTCAGTTGCGGGAAGAACTTCTAAAACTTCCCTGTCCTGAAGGATTGGATCCAGACACTGACGACTCCCCAGAAAAATGCAGTGCCACAAGTTCAGAAGAGACGATGTTGCACGAACAGGTTAAACCCAGCAGCAGTAAAGATATCCCCACTGATTTCAAGTTATGAGTTGCATTGACATGGACTTTCTAGACACAAAGGCTTTGAAGCACAAGCCAAATATGTCAATATTTGTATGTAAGAAGCTAATTATGTAATAGGTAATGAAATTGAAACTATACTATGCCCTTAAGGATATACAGTTTAATTCAAGATGATCTTTTATTTACCTGTACAAGAGTGTAAACTTTTTTGTGCTTTTATTTTTCAATTGTGAGAACCACTGATTGGTATGTTTAAAAAGTTATGTATACAAGAAATGGATAAATCACTGATATATAAGGGAAACTACCTTAGGAAAGAATGTTTACTGAATGTTTATTATTTTTTTTTACTTGTAGAGTGAGGGCGGTTGTAACAAAGAATATATATTGGTCATTCTTACAGCTACTATTTAAAGTCAGAAAATTTTCACTGAATTTGATAGATTTTACGTTTGGCCATATATTCATGCTCACATTTGATTCTAAAGAAAACCTCCTGTATACTTCAATAAACGTTAAATGGACATGATCCCTCTTTTACGATTTTCTGGTACATTTTTTTAAATAAACTGCCATAAAATGCATTCTAGCTGAAGAGTTGCACTTGTATGACTGAATTCATTACAGTCAACATATTTAATTTTATGCTTACTAATTCCAAAATGCAGATGAAATAAATGCATATGGTTTTACCTCACGCCAAAATTTGGACTTCTGAATTCATCTTCTGTTTGGCTATTTTATGCAAACTAACAGTATTCTAAATTTCTTAAGGGCTATTCTGGAACAAAGGCTTTTCTCTGTTGAAATGTCTGATTTTTACATAATCAACTGTACTCTTACATACTGACAGGGGCTAATGACGTGCCATGCAGGACTCCAACGTTCTGTCGTTCCTACTGTATAGACTTGCTTCCAATTTTATACTTGCAACCACAAATCCCTAACTAAGAAGGGATTTGCTTGATTTAATAATCAAGTCTCGCTCTTAACATAACATGCATTACCATCACTGTTCCTAATTTTTGAGCAGTCCTTGAAGGACTAAAAAGGTGTTACTGGTATTACCTCAGACTAATGATCTGTTGTATTATAAATACTATAAATCAGGCAAAACCGAAGCTTTTTTGTTTTCTATTTGTTCTTTGTTTATAAGTACCACGCTGGATTTTTTTCACTTTTTGGTTTACAATGTATTATTTCTAATCATTAAAAACAGCACCAACTGAGGTTGTGTTCTTATGCTGATGGTTAACAGACTTTGATAGTTCTGACCAAAGTATGACTTTTCTGTTACACTGATACGTTGTGTTAATCCAAAGCCTGTCCTGATTGTACATACCTCTCAAAATAACAACTTAGCCATGTCTGTGTTACTTCAGGGGCTCCCTGATCTAAAAGCAAAACAAGCAGCTCCGTGCCAGAGCTGTTGGTAAATACATGAAACAAAGATTTTGTGCTACATAGTCAAAGAGTTAGAACTTCATCAGTGTTAAAACAGCACTGCATTTTCCTAGGTGGGTATTTACTTCCTTTCTATTACTGTACAAAATGATTGTGACACCCTTGTAAAGGCTTCAAAAGCAAAATGACCTGCTGACTTCCAAATATATTTAAGTTAGTGCTTTCCATTAAAGCTCTTCGTTTAGTGCTTAAACTGTTTGCCTACAGGAGCATAGTCTTTTTATAAAATCCTGGCACTTGTACCAAAACCAAATGTATTAGACCTGAAGAGCCTCCTTAAATGCAAAGACTTTTTTTACCATTAAAAAACAACACTGAAATGAAAAGTACCTAACTTGCATTGATTTGACATTAAGAAGGTGGCTAACATGAATGTACCTTTCTCTCTAGTGTGTATTTATGGTATCATAGCAATGCTAATGTGAAGTCACTGCTGCTTAATTAAGCAGATGTAAACAGCTGCATGGGATATTAAACTAATTTGTATCCATGTACCAATTATCTTTTTTTTTTTTGCTCTAACCAGAGCTAGAATGGTATCGTCCCAAATTAATGCAGATTCAATCCTTAATAACTTGTGACTACGTTACAGTCTAGTAAGTAAATTGTGAACTTGGCAACAGACACAAAATACATATTTTCAGTTTTTTAGCTATAACACACAAGGTCTGTGTTACTTCCCGGTAAAACCACAGTAAATCCCATGAGGTATGTAGACAACTGAGTATTTTTTTGACCAGTTCCTCTCATCTTTTACCACTTTATCAAAGGGAACAGAAACCTGTATTGACAGATCCCAGTTTCTAGCCATCACTTTGAAGTCCTGTGTTTTAACTGTTATGCTGTTTTTTGTAGAAAATGTTTTAAAAATCAACAGAAATGATTTTCAAAAGCACAAGAGGCAGCAAACTGCCAATTAGGTCAGTACGGAATTTCACCCCGTGGTTTTTTGGTGCTGCCTTTGGCCCGAGGTTCACCGCTGACCCATTGCCACGCAGTGCAGAGTGGGATGCTTCCAGCCCTTGGAAGCGCTGCGGCCGCCCTGCTGAAGGAAGAACGCACCGCAGCCGGAGGCTGTCAGGCCATTCCTGGCGCTCCACTGACAGTAATGCCAAGCTTTTCTGACTGATTCAATCTACATCATCTACTGAAGAGGGAACAGCTCAGCAATCTAGGAGTCCTTGTGCTCCATGAGAGCAAACTGTTTGTTATCCAGATTGCATAAACAACTGTTCTGTTCTGCAGTTGTAGACGCAGTACTCTGTATACAGACATGAAGGATACCTCTGCGAGATTAGTGATGTCCTCTGGACTTTTTTGGGGGGTAAAAGACGTGCATAAATGTATGGATTAATGCTCCTCTGTAATCCTACCACTGCTATACAGGAAAAAGCAAAGATGACAATCTAGTTAAAGAAAAAACAAGAAAATTTGAAACTCAAGAACCCTGTAAACAACCTCCAAGTTTCACTCTATTAATTACGTGTTAGATGTTTACGTACTAGCATAATAAAGTATGTGTGACTGTAGATTGACTGGGTCTGCAGCAGCCTGTTTGGCATTGTTGGTTTGGTTTTGTCACTGTTTTTCTTCTCTGAATCTTTGACATAAGTTCAGGGTAGACCTTGTACATGTCTGCTAGCCTGTTGAGGAGCCTGCCTTGCAGCAGGTAAAACTGTGCCAACTCAGGTAAGGCACTGGACTACTGAGAGCTTCTAGGGAGCGTCAGTGTGGGTCTGTCAGCAGTACTGTGGTTGGATGATGATCTAGTAAGTAGCAGTAGGGCTTGACTTCTTTAAATTTAAAAAAAAAAAAAAAAAAGCTCCCATACGATACAGGGAATGAATGTACTACACTACTTGGGATGGCTTTAACCGCCACTCACTATATAAAATAGGGCATTCAGTTTCTGGCAGGAATCACATTGTTAAGAAAACATTACTGCAAAACAATCCTTTTTCCATGCGACTGTAATCCTGTGCAGGGGATGTGTATTAGGGGAGCTTTTCTTCCCAAAAATGTTTCTGGTGTTAAATAAATAACTGTTCTATTTTACGTCCTGAAGTAAGCAACTTGATAAGCAAACCATCATATTACTAATTTACCTTGTTTACCCATAAATATCTGAACACAAATCCAGCTGACCTACATTGAAGCTGGGACTATACTATGTTACTCTGATCCTTGTATAGGAGAATTATTTAGGCTTAGGTTTTTAGTGGGAGTTTCTCAGGCATGTCTTCATTTTTTACCTCCGTGCTGCCTTTGTGTTAGTGTGGTCTAGATGTGCTCTGCTCTTCTTTCCTCATTTGTTTCTCCAGAAACCAGTCACCATCATGTGGACTCACCTCCCTGGACCGTCAACTCTGCAGTTAGAAAACAGGAATTAGAAGCATTTTTCAATGGAAAGGAGACCTAGATTTACATTTATCTTAGCATAAGGAACAAGTATAAGGTACAGAAGCTATTTCAGATAGATGTTCTCAATTTAGTTTTTTTACCACATACATACACACAGACAAATTTATATATGTATAAATGCATCAGGTCTGGCAGTTACTTGTCTTCAAAGAAGTTTTTTGAGCTTTATTTTTCCTCTCCTTTTCCCTAGATAGTGACACCATTAGGTGGAATGTGCAGGCGTCTATATTGGAACATGAGCTTTCTGAAACACAGTGAGCTAAAGGGCTAAAAGTAAGTTCCACAATTACTAAAACAAATCACAGGTAAAAACATTTCATTCTGCTGAGATTGTGTCGTTGCTGTTGTTTTACTCTCCTAGAACACGAATACAGAAAATACAATATCTACCTTGTCAATTACTGTAGTAGAGCTCTAAAATAATTTCACCACTGCCTCTTTTTTTAATAAAGTCTCAGAGAAAACAAATCCCAATCCACAATGCTCCATCTTGATTGAGAGAGTTCTGCATATTGTGACCTGTCAGCTTTGCAGGCTCCGATCTCTCATGTGTTGCTTGCCTCTGAAGTAACTTTTTAGCTCTTGAAAAGTGATAAACTAGTCCCCTTAGTTCTCCAGATACATTAATGTTATTTATCCTTTACATTAAGAGTGCCTATAATACCGGTATCATTTAATAATACAATATCATCCTCAAATGTCTAGATAATATTAATGCTAGAGTTGGTAAAGTTTCTGTAATTCAGGTAGCAAAATTTTGTATGTAAAGTTGCTTAGTTAAAAATCCAGAAAGGAAAGAAGCAGGTTCTTTATCAGCCAGAGACCACGCAGGGCAGTCAGAAGCCCTGATTCTGATGGGAATATAGCTGAGTTCATGTTAGGAACCAGTGCAAGCCGAGCCCTAAGAAAATCTAGGAGTAAGTAAAGGCATGTTATTGTCCCCCTCAAATACATTTAGAAATGAGGTAACTGTGGTGAGACTTGCACACAGCAGAAGTTGTTAAACCTAAAGAATAATGCCCAACATTATACTTAAACCAACTGTGTCTATTTGCAAAAGTAACAAGCAGGCTGATCAACTAAGGTTGCTAGAGCAACAAGTCAGACATGGTTTCACAAGAGGAACATGCTTCTCAAATATATCATGTCGCACTGCATTTAAAAACCTGCAGACACTTCTGTTGTCACTGTCGTGCTCAGTACTTCCAGCTTTACCACTTCCTGCATTTTTTTTTAATTTATTTGTCCTGCATCTCTATTCATTATTCTTTTCCTCACCTACTGACCAACATCCAGAGACATGCACAAAGCCTTCAGTAGTTCATAAACTCTTTGCATAAATGTCCTGGGTTGAGTGAGTGGTGGAGTTTTTGGTGGCAGGGGAGGGGGCTATCGGGGCGGCCCCCTGTGAGAAGCTTCTCGAAGCTCCCCCAGCTCCACGTCAGCTCCACTTCTGTTTGGGAAATTGAGCCAATCAGCTGCGCCTCTGCGATAACGTATTTAAGAAGGGACGTGGTGACGGGCAGTCGGACTTGTGAGGAGGAGTTGCTGCAGCTGCATGAACACCAAGGTCAGTGGAGGAACGGAGGAAGAAAGGAGGGGGGAGGTGTGCCGGAGCAGAGACCCCCCTGTATCCTGTGGGGAGACAGCAGGGCGGCCCCCCCCCTGCCACCCATGAAGATCTACGGTGGAGCAGACATTGATTTATGGCCCGTGGCTCCTGCTCAGCTGATCAAGGTTCTGTGCCCGAAGAAGCCCGGGGTCTCATGGGAAAAGGCAGCCCCGCTGCTGTAATTCAGCGCTGGGAGGATTGCAGCATGCAGGGGAGTCCCACGCCGGAGCAGCTCGGGAAGGGCTGCAGCCGTGGGAGGGAATCCAGTCGGAGGAAGTTAGTGACCCATGACGGAGCAGTGTGGGGAACGCTGCGGCCCGTGGGAGGAATTCAAGTCAGAGAAAGTTTGTGGAGGACTGTCTCCTGTGAGAGGGGGACCACGATGGAGCAGGAGGAACAAGTTCCGGACACTCCCCTCACCGAAGATGAAGGAAGTGGCAGCGCTGACTGCACCCCCCATTCCCTGCCCCTGCGCCACTGGGGGAGGAGGCAGAGATATCGGGAGCAGAGCTGAGCCCGGGAAGAAGGGAGGGGTGGGGGGAAGGTGTTCTCAAGATGTGGCAACGCTTCTCACTGTCCTGCTCTGTTATGTGTTGTTAGTGTCTGTAATAAATGTATGTTCTTTTTTTCTTCCCCTAACGAGTCTGCCTTTTGCTCATGATCTTAAAAGGGGGATTTTTCCCCATCCCAGTCCTATCTCGAACCCCAAGCCTGGCTCTCTGTCCCTTCTTATTGCCGGAGGGGAAGGGAGAGAGAGCTGCTGCATTGTGGTTGGCTGCCAATCAGGCCTAAACCACAACAATAAAGTAGAAAGCAACCCTACCCCAGTTCCCTGATAGCAAACATATTAACATCTCTTAAAAAAAGGCACCCCTCCCAACCAGAAAACTAAAACTAACTAAAATCTCATCATAAAAAAATGCAATTTGCCATCATTAAAGACTGCCTCTGTTGCTTCATTAAGCATCTTCTAATTTACCAGGGGAGCAAGCGGAAAAAAGAAAATGTGTTGTGGTTCTTTTTTCTATTTTTTTTCTATTCTCTCTCAGATATTTAAACAAGTATGTGATTCAGAAAAGGAATGCCAACAGAAAATGTCTTGCAACCTAGTCCTAAACAATGGTTTGGATGTCTCCAGAAGTCCTGTTCTCTTACCTTGAAACTGTAAAGTTTTCAGCCACAGAAAACCTTTGCCCATGCCAGAATTAGCAATAAGCACATCAATGAAAACTTCCAGGACTTTGTTCAGTCAAAATTCCCTTGTTTGAAACTTCTGGTACTAGTAATAAGCTTATTTCTACAATTATTTTAAGCAGCTTGTAAGAAGGTGGCCATGAGTTGGATGCCACACAGCTTTACAGCAGTCTCAGCTGAAGCCCAGCGCAACACAACTCTAAGCCTAGAGTGTGACAGCAACTCTCTAACCCCGCAGGAGGGGCACCTGGGGTTCCTTTAGGACGTAACAAGGCCACCATCATTACATACGCGCAACCAGCCCAGCCGAGCGCCAGCATTCTCGCGTTAGGGAAGCCAGGTCACTGTGCACGCTGCCTGGGAACGCGAGTCCCAGCCTCCAGCCTGGCTACAGCTACAGTTCAAGCTGTCCTGAAAAACCTTGCAAATGTTTGCTGGCAACATACTGTGGCAATGATTCAAGAGGAAATGGAGGTGACGTGGCAGATCAAAAACTAATAGCCAACAGCAGGATTGCTAGAAGAAAAACTATATACCTGCCAGCAAGACCCATCTTCTCAACTACCAGGTTGTCACTGTGCAAATCTCAACTGGGATTTTGAGGCAGTTTCAACCAGTGAAATTTGGTGTGATAATGAAATTCTCAGGGGCTGGCATCCAGCTCAGCAGCAGTCACGAGAGAAATCATGCAACCATCTGGCTGGCTGAATTCTGCCCTACCGTGTGGGATTCTGGGTATGTCCCAGAGCACTACATGAAGCCGCAAACTAGGGAAAAAAAATTTCTTCCAGATTCAACACATTTCCCATCTGCCTCATAGTCACCAAAAGCAACAGAGTGTGCAGGCAGGTCACACACATTGAAAAAAATTCTGTTGTATAGCTCGCTAGGAAGCTTTATACATTAGGAATGTGAAGGGTCTAACAGAGACCACCTGATCCATATGACAGAACAGAGATGAAAAGGTGGAAATTACATCCAGGTGATAATTTAGCTTGATACAGATTTCACTCTTAGCTTTAAAAGTAAAAAAAATACAACACAACATGGTTTAACCCCAGCTGGTAACTAAGCCCCACACAGCCACCCAACCACTCCCCCCTGGTGGGATGAGAGAGAGAATTGGAGAGGTAAAAGTGAGAAAACTCATGCATTGAGATAAAGACAGTTTAATAAGTAAAGCAAAAGCCGCGCACACAAGCAAAGTAAAAGAGGGAATTCATTCCCCACCTCCCACGGGCAGGCAGGGGCTCAGCCATCCCCAGGCCAGCCGGGCTCCATCCTGTGTAATGGTTACTTGGGAAGGCAAAAGCCATCACTCCGAACGTCCCCCCTTCGTTCTTCTCCCCCCAGCTTTATACGCTGAGCATGACACCACATGGGATGGGATATGCCTTTGGTCAGTTGGGGTCAGCTGTCCCGGCTGCGTCCCCTCCCAGCTTCTTGTGCCCCCCCAGCCTGCTCGCTGGTGGGGTGGTGCAAATTGCAGAAAAGGCCCTGACTCTGTGTAAGCACTGCTCAGCAGTAACAGTAACATCTCTGCATTATCAACACTGTTTGCAGCACAAATCCAAAACAGAGCCCATGCTAGCTACCGTGGAGAAAATTAACTCTATCCCAGCCAAAACCAGCACACAACTCTGCAAAATACACACTCAGTCACAATTGCTGTTGACAGCAAATGGACAGCAAAGCAGAGGTACTCCAGAGAATGAAATATCCTTTTGTATCTGCACTGCCTACTGATGTGTTAAACCTCCTTCCGCTCTTTTCTAGCTGTTCCTCCGAGGAAATCATTCATGTTAGAAAACAACTAGCCAGATGAACAAATGACACACAGCAGGGAACTGAACATCAATAACCTCTATCAGAGGAGAAGCCAAGTCATTTAAACAAAGGATAGGAGAACAACGGTACATGGCTCCTGATAAACAACTGTGTAATTCAGGAAAGATGGTTCTATCTTGAAGACCTCTCAAGAGTCTGTACTGCTAGCGGAAATCAATGAAGGATAGTGCTGAAATTTCCAGATTGCATATAGAGAACTGCGGTAGAATGCTAAATTCAATGTATGCCTAATGCAAGACATGGATTAATCATCTGAATAAAAATAGCTCAGTTAAAATGCCTGCTGTGATA